AGAAGCAAGGTCATCAACATTCCAAGATTATATTCTTCTATACTTCCCTCTGGTATTTTGCCATTTTTTAAAAAGATTTATTTGCTTTTATTGAAAAGATATATAGGGAGGAGGAGAGACAGAGAGGAAGATCTTCCATCCACTGATTCACTCACCAAGTGGCTGCAAAGGCTGGAGCTAAGCCAATATGGAGCCAAGTGTCCCACATGGGTGAAGGGTCCCAAGGCCTTGCGCTGTCCTCAACTGCTTTCCCAGGCTACTGGGACCAGAACCCCTGCCCCATATTGGATCCTGGCGCGTGCAAGGCAAGGACTTAGCTGCTAGGCTACCATGCTGGGCCCTGTTTTGCAATTTTAATTTTTGTCATTTAGATCTTTTTTTGTAAGTTGTTTTGTATATGGGAATCAGCCTTTATCCTGGATATAAAACACAAGGTCTGATGAGACGTGTGGAACACATAACAGGTCTTTACTCTCCTGTATTGTGTTCGTAGCATGACCTTCTTTTTATACATAGTAGCATCAGATTATGAAATAGTATATATAAAATTTAATGATACAATAATCAAGAGTCAAAAGATGATTTTTAGATGTTTTTAGCTACAGCCCTGGCTGTTGTGGCCATTTGGGAATGAAGTAGCAGATGAAACATCTCTGTCTTTTCCCCTGTTACTCTTTCAAATAAATAAATAACATTTTTGTAAAAGTGCATATAACAAAAAACTAAATAGCTTCATTTTTCAGTTTTTTTTCTTTTTTTTTTTGGCATTCCATTGTTTAAGCAATGGAAAGGTATTTTTCCTATTATCAAAAGCTATAACAAGTACCCGTGTGTTTCCAGCTGGGACTTGTGAATATTAACCTTCAATTATCATATTTCAACTGCCTTAAGAAATAGGTAACAAATCCATACAGCTTTCTGCTGTCTTATCAATCTCTCATCAACTCTCCCCAGAAGTAAGCACTTGTCTGGATAACGTCTTGCCAATCAGTGTTTTTCAGCATCACAATCTATTTTATTAGTAAGTTAAAACTATTATGTTAGTAAACTGTTCACTATGAGCAAGTCTACAGGAGCCGCAGAAGTCGCCCTGAGTGTTGTCGTTCAGGGCTTGCTATGTATCAGTGTCTGGTCCAGCTTACTGTATATACTGTACAGGTGTGTGCTACCTCTGCTGTGGGGTTTTTTATACTGGAGGAATAGTTTTATTGCAGGAATAGTGGTCTCATACAAGCTTTTGTAGTCTAAATAAACGTAACTGTAAATCTGGGCTATTTATAGAAATTGCTGAATTCTTAATTAGCTAATTAAGCTGTACATGCAGATTAACAAGGATTATCTAATGTGCTGTATGCTGAACTGTGTCGTTGTACTTTTTATTCTCCTAATGCTTATTTACGCATAGTAAGAGTTGTTGCATTTGAGGAGAAAAACAGGACCTAGAAGCATTCTCATTATAATTTCTATGTTTTGAAAGATGAAAAAACTACAAGGATTTAACTTCAGAGCCAGAAAGTGATCTTAGTTTTGGTTCTCTGTTTACTAATGACCAATTTAGATAATGATTTTGATGTAATATTGGTGTCTGCTGTATAAGCTAAATAAAGTGTCAGAAAATAATGATTTCTTTGTAATTTTTTCACTTTCACACATGTATCACATAGATGTTTGCAATATGTCATTTTTGTTTACAGCTTGCTGCTTTTTATTGTTTTGCAGACTTATTTTTAATGTTTTTAGCGATGCCTTTATGGAAATGTCAGACTGCCTGGCTGATTTGTTGTGTGTTTAAAATACAGGTAAATTTTAGGACAAGTGAAATGGTTAGAATCATTACTGTTACTTTTACAGACCATTGTAGTTATACTTCTGGTGGAAGCTGCTGTGGACTAACGTCTTAGCACTGAATCCTGGAGATGTAAATCTGTTCTTCTTGCAGGGAGAGTGATGCTGAATAGCTGTGAATGATCAAGACTTACTGTATAATTCAGAGCCTTGGTTATTGCAATATAAAGAAAAAATGAAGCCAAATTAAGTCTGAGATGTATAGTTTGCAGTAGTTATCAAAAAACTACTTTTAAAGATTTTGCAGTGTATGATATTGTTCATTTCTTTCTGAAAAAAAAAAGACTGCTTTTTTTTTTTAACACTAATTTTCATTTTATTGAGAAAGAGAGAAAGAAGCTAGCCAGACTGACGTCAGGAGCCTAGAACTCTGGGTCATCGGTGGGTGCCAGGGACCTAAGGACCTAGGCCATTTCCTGCCTCCCAGCACGGGTGTTGTCAGGAAGGTGGATTGGAAGATGTGGAGCTGGAAGTTTGGGCAGACTTTGTTTTTTTTTTTTTTTTTTTTAAGATTTATTTATTTATTGGAAAGTCAGATATACAGAGAGGAAGAGAGACGGAGAGGAAGATCTTCCATCCGATGATTCACTCCCCAAGTGAGCGCAATGGCTGATGCTATGCCTTTCTGAAGCCAGGATCCAGGAACTTCTTCTGGGTCTCCCACACGGGTGCAGGGTCTCAAGGCTTTGGGCAGTCCTCAACTGCTTTCCCAGGCCACAAGCAGGAAGTTGGATGGGAAGTGCAGCTGCCGGGATTAGAACTGGTGCCCATATGGGATCCCGGGGCAAGGTGAGGACTTTAGCTGCTAGGCCATGCCGCTGGGCCCTTGGGGCAGACTTTGTGATATGGACTGCGGCCATCCCAAGTGACAGTTTAACCTCCACCTCAAATGCCTGCCTCAGTGTTGTTCATTTAGCCTTTCTGAATGCTGTTTCCAATGCTTTTTTGTCTCTTATTTTTTTCTCCTTTATTCCCTGATTACAGTTCAGTGTTCTTAGAGTTCCATTTTCTACCATCACTTGGCTTGTCTCTCTCCTGTGAACTCCCTGAGCTGTGTCGTCTGTTCTCATGATCTTCATCACTACTTAGTGAACCCATATGCCTGGCTTTATCCCTGAGAAATGAACTTCATTCATGAGACTGATACCCATGAGAGATGAACTTAAAAAAAAGGTTTATGTGAAGGGGCATGAGCAACATAAAGAGAGCCATCTTTAATGCATTGGTTCATTTCCCAAATGTTTTACAACAACCAGCAGCTCAGAACTCCATGTGATCTCCCATATGGGTGACAAGGGGCTCATGTAGCTGGACCATCTTCCACTTCCTTCTCTGACTCCATAGCAGGGATCTGGACTGGAAACAGAGCAACCCCGACCTGAGCTGGTGCTCCGGTGTGGAATGCTCATGATCTGTCTTTATATCGTCTCTTCTCTCTTGCATCCTATGCGTGTGACTAACTCCTTAAGGGCTTGCTCAGGTTTTACCTTTGTAACTAAACCTGCCCTGATTACCCTTTATAAAATGTTTTCATCTCACACCCTGACTCCTGGTCCCATTTATTCTACTCCAGCCTTTCTTCTTCTTCTTTTTTTTTTTTAATATTGATTAGGCATCTTTAATATTACCATATAACCTATACTTGATTTGTTTATTGTATTATTACAGCACATCTTTTGTCACTAAAATGTAAACTTAATAGAGATGAATCCTCTCCATCTTTTCCAAGTAAAACTGTATCCTTGAGTATCGTGGAATTCAGGAGTGGTGTTTCTGTCCTTTGGTTACAGAAAGGGGAGTTCTGTGTTTCTATTTACTTTGTTGTGATGATGGTGGTTTTAATAATCAACCTGTGTAGAAGATGGTCCATGGTTCTTTGTTTATGAATGAGTAGTTTGACTTTTGTAAGGCAGTGTGCTTTCTCAGCTTGTGGTCTACAGTTGGCCTCATACCTTCACTTCTGTTCTCCTTGTTATGTGAACCATTTGAATACATCTGGAATTTTTACCAAGTGCTCCATTTCCAAGCGATCCAGTTCTAAAAACATTAAAGAACATGTGCGTTCTGTTTTTAACTACTTAAAATGATTGCTCATAAGGAATAACTGTAGTTGGAAGACAGTTGCTCTGTCCCATAGGACTGTGGCATTAACCTTGGGTGCAGCTTTGGCTCTGTGTTCCCAGAGCAGTTCTCATTCCCAAATCCATGGTGGTAATAGACTGTCTCACCTCTTACAATGTGCAAAGGTTAAACGCAGAACAGAAATGAGCTTTAGTGGTGTACTGAGGTGTCCAATTAAATGACCAGTATAGTGGGTTTGTTCTTTATAAATTATCCAAGATTTAGGGTGTTCCTGGGAGATGGATGTGGAAGTTCTGATACTCTGCAACTGATCGTTAGTGTAAGTTTGAACAATTTATTCAACTTATTTAATTTTGGCTGCCTGGGGTTTAGTTGACATTGGAAACATTCTATGCTTTTTATTGTAGGAGCTGCGTTTACTTCTTTATTTATAAGATTTTTGTTCATTTTTATTGGAAAGGCAGATAAACACAGAAAGGGAGAGACAGAAAGATCTTCCATCTGCTGATTTACTCCCTAATTGGCCACAGTGGCCAGAGCTGAGCCCATCTGAAGCCAGGAGCCAGGTGCCTCCTTCAGTCTCCCATGCCGGTGTAGGAGACCAAGATTTTGAGCCATCTTCCACTGCTATCTCAGGCCACAAGTGGGGAGCTGGATGGGAAATGGAGCAGCCAGGGTACACACCTGTGCCTGTTTTATTTTCTTATATGCTTGTATAAATCAACAGGTCTGTGATAATTTCTGGAATTCAGGAAGAAATCTAATCACTATGAATATTTAAAGTTGGTGCTTTTTTGTTTTCCCCTCTTTCTTCCTTGGCTTGTTTATTCTCTAGCCCTTGGATTATATGTGTTGTTTTACTCTATGTGTTTAAGGAGCAAAAGAATGATATATTTAAGGTGTTTTTGTTATGAATTTTACTTTCCAACCTCTGTTTTATTTAGTTTCCCCCTGGCATCCAGCAGATTGTCTTGTACATAGTAGGTGCTCCTTCAGTGTTGCTTAAACATAGCTGTTTGTTTTATTTTTGTTATACTAAATAAATTGATTTTAAAATTTCTGTTATTTTTAAGAAAGGTGACTCTTGTGATGGTTGGACTTGATAATGCTGGTAAAACGGCAACAGCAAAAGGAATCCAAGGAGGTAAGCTAACAATATGTGCATTTTGAATTTTGTTGAATTATTCTGAATTATTTGATTATGTATTTTACATTTCCATATTGCATATTAATTGGGTATGGATGCTTTGTCCTTGATTACTTTCAATCTTAATGTACTTCCAACCAATGTGGTGACTAAGCCATGGCTTACTAGCAGTTCTGGTCTATCGTCATGTTTCAGATTGGAATAGATACAGAGGAACAGCGGCTCCAAGGGGTCTTTCATTGACAGGAAGTGACTTCATCCATGTTCTACCGCAACAGGAGTGAAACAAATAAACTAAAAGCTAGTAATGTCCTTTCCTTTAAGAATATCCATCTAATATATAATTTATTGGCAAGTACTTATTGTGATTATGCCTAGATGAAAAAGAGTAAAATTATAATCAATCAGCATAATTATTTGTGCTTTTTTTCAGTAAGGTAAGTATTTGTTAGTTACAATACAGATAGGACCTCTGCTAGTAATGGGCTTTACATGATAAGTATTATGCCTCACTGAATGTGTTTAGTGCTTTGTACACAGTATAGCATTGTGTGAGCTCATTGTACATTGAAAATCTTAAATATGTGAATTAGAAGAAAAGCCCAACACATATTTGTTCCTTAACACGGATGCTCACAATTACCATGCACGCTGAATATTTGTTTATGAACATCTTGTAAAACTCAGAGGTGGAGAAAAACATTTTGTTAGCTCAAATTCTATGTGACAATAGCTGCAAGCTGCCTGTGGGTTCTCCTAAAGTTTTGTTTGTTTTGGTACTACTTGTGCTATCCTCTTGGTTATTTCCTATCAGAGCACTCACTGTGCTCAGCAAGCTTATTCTGTAAAGGGACAGATAGTATTTTAGGTTAGGTAACTGTATATTTTATTTCCCAATCATCTATCTCTGGCATTGTAGTGAAAGCATACATAGATAATATGTAAACCAAATGAGCAAGACCATATTCTAATGAGATTTGATTTATGATCGTGGAAAGTTTAACTTCATATAATTGTATTAATTATTCATTTTGGTTTTTTAGTTATTTAAAAAGATAAAATTAATTTGTAACACAAAGATTATTAGAAAATAGATGGCAAGGCAGATTGTCGTCTAGGCCATGACACCATTTTTAAGCTGCTTCCCTCCTCATTGAAGGGAGCAGACATCTAGCACTCTGATAACCAGGCGATCTCTGATTTGTTGTCTGTGTTTGAAACACCCTCTTTTCGTTAGGCTGTGTATGTCTATGTTTCTTATCCATGTGGCCATTTCTTTTTTCTAAGTCTAGAGAATGCTCACAATGTCACATAATAAACTAAGAGCATCTTCAACTTTGAGTTTTCCTCTGTTATGTTTATATTCTTCACAGCATATTTGTTCTTTAGCCTACTCCAGTGACTGATTTCTTACTTTGAATCCTTTTCTAAGATTGTAGTTATATGAATTTGTTAATGTTTATTTTTGATGATTTTTACATGGTTGATTATGGTGCAAAGGGTCAAGGGCTACAGGAAGGTGGGTGAGACCACCATCTTCACATTCTCTCTTTTTTCCCCTCCCTGCATCTGAGGGTAAGGGGGATACAAGGGAAGAAGTCACACCCAGCCTCCCAACCGCCTCCATATCCTGGCATGGAGGATAGCCACCCGACGCCATCCCAGGTTCCCTGATGTGGGGCAAACTGCAAGGGTCCTGATCAAGAGATTTTGATAGTTCAGCAGTTCTGAATTACTACTGATTTCACAATTCCAAGCACGATGAAATCTCTCCAGAATCCATTGGTTGACACTGTTCACCTTAGAGTCTACGTTTGCCCAGATATTCACTGACAACACTTGGCTGAGGCAGTTGATCAATTATGTACCCATTCTCTGTTATGGTACCAGGTGTCATCCCACGTGTTATCCCAGACCTGATTCTTGTGTGTGCTTGTCAGTATAGGTTCTAGCACAGACTGATGCACACAGTTGTAGTTGTAATTGTTGGATTAGATCTGTTTCCAACACTGTCTTCTGTACAAACCAATGAATATTGGAGCCCAGCCTGATCTGTCTACTGCACACTTGGCCCTCATGCACACCAGAGGGCGCTGTGGCCTAGTTGGAGTCACCTGCAATAACCCCCTCTAGAACCCTCCTCCTGCCCTGGTGCCTGTACTTGCCAGTATGTACAGCAGACTGGTCCAGTCTGTCCCACTTCCCATTCAGATCTCAGATATGTCAGAGGCACTGAAGCACAGTTCAACCCAACCAGCCCCACTATCCAGCCCACACATGTGCTGGTGGGTGCCATTCTTTGTCTAGCCATGCCTGCTCCATTCTGATTCTCATGCTCGCCAATCAGAGTAGCAAACCGAGAGGGAGGTGCCCACGGTTTCCTTAATGGGCCCATTCTCACTCCTGAAACTTACACTCTTCAGATGGTTCTGCAGTTTGACTTGACAGAATTTTCCCCTCTGTGCCAGCCTCTGCCAACTGATGCTATGGGCAAAGCCCATCCAACCCAGTCCCACTCTGACTTGTGCATACACCAGTAGGATCAGTCAACTCAGCCTGGCTTTCCCCTGATTCAGCTCACATGAGGCCAACAGGTGTTGTAGCCCTGCCCGGCCTGGTCTGCCCCCATCCCAGCGCTCACGCTCTCCAGTGGAAGTAGTGATCAAGAAGGGGAGTTCCATGCAGCCCTCCTGCCAGGTTCACTCCCTCTACCTTAGGTCTCATGTGTGCTGGTTGGGCACTGCAGCCCAGTATAGCATATTCCACCTCACCTTGGCATTTGGCAATGGGTGCTGTATCTTGGCTGGGCCTGGCCCACTCCAGTTCCAACTTATGCTGTTGGGGCTACAGCCTAGCCCAGCCTAGCTGATCCCCAGTCCTGGCCCTCATGTGAACTGGCTTGTGTTGTGGCCCAATTGGGGCCTGACCCACACTCCGATCTGGTACTCAGGTTCACCAGTGGGTGATATGAATTGGCCCAGCCTGGTTCACCCCTGACCTGAGCCAAATGTATGGCCTGGGCTTTGCTGCTTCCTGTCATGGTTGGTTCTTGCTCTCACTTGCAGGGACTGTATCCCAACAGAAGAGTTCCTCAAGCTCCTCCATCAGAACCTCTCCCAGTGCCAGATCTCACACCATTGGATCCATAGTCCATCCCTACCTAGTTCAACTTCTGTCTTAGTAGGAATAATGGCCTTTCCTGACAGGCCCTCACCCATTCTGATTTTTACTGTTGGGTATTACAGTCCAGCCAAACCTGGCCCACATCCAGACTCAGCTCACACATGGCTAAGTAGGGGCAGAGACCTAGCCTAGCTTGTCCTATACTCACTGTAGTTCTCACAAGCACTAGTGGGTGCTATGGTCTGGCCCAGTTTGGTACACTGCAGACCCAATCCACACTTGTGCCAAGGGACACTGCAGCCATGTTCAGACCAGTCAGCAGCCCCTGCTCTGGCCCTTGCACTCACCCCATGGGAACCCCAAACCAACCAGGGCATTCCCTTAGCTCTTTACCCAGGCCTTTTCCCAGCCACAGATCTCGTGCATGCCAGTGGTTGCTCTGACTCAGCTTGGCATAGTTGCTCATCTGTCTTGGCCTTTGCCTTTGAATGCTGTAGCCTGGCCTGACCTGGCCTGTCCCCAGTCCCAACTCTAGTGGGTGGGTGCTGGCACCTGGCCTTCCTCAGTTTGCTCCCATCCCTGGCTCAAGCAGGGTAGTAGGTATGACAGCCCAGGCTAGGATGATCTGCATTCTAGCCTGGTTTCTGCACTTGCCAGTGAGCTAAGGTTTGCTCGGCCCTGCCCGCTGCACCCTCTTCCAAAACCAACCCACACAAAATTGCCAACAGATGGACTTACCTTGCCCAGCTTGCCCAACCCCCAGGTCTGGATCCCATGCTCACCAGTGACAGCTATACCCACTAGGGTAGTTTCCCAAGTTCCCCCACTTGGTGCATTCCCAGACCCAGATCTCACACATGCAATTTGTGCTAGGGCCTTGCCTGACATAACCTGTTCCTCCATCTTGGCCTTTGGGCTGGTGAATGTTGTGGCTGGCCCATCCCACATCCTGTATTAGGATGCACACATGGGTGCTGCAGCCTGGATCTACCTAGCCTATTCTCAGCCCCAGTACCCATGAGTGTTGGCAGGTTCCATGATCACACCTAGTTAAGCCCATCATCATCCCATCTCTTAAGTTGACTAGCAGGACTTGTATTTCCATAGGATTGGGCCCATTTATCTGGTACAGAATCTATCCCTGGACCTCGTTCTCTTGTGTGTTGGTTAGTGTCATGGCTGTGCCTAATTTGACCCGTCTCCTTTTCCAGCACTCAGTCTGGAACCCCCAACCCTAGCTTTTTTGTGGACTGGCGTGTGGTAGTCAGTGATGTTCTGTGCTAACAAGCCCATCTCAAGACTCCCATGTGGGCTGGTGCTTGAGTCTGACCCATACAGATCTTCCAATCTCTCCGCTTCAAACCACCAGGTATCAGTCCCCTCACTTAACCTGCAAGGACAGTGGCCCTGTGGTTGGGAGTCCACCTACTTTGGCCTTATCCATTGATGTTCTTAGGTAGTAATTCCTCACCCCCAGGTATTCAGAGCTTGTTGTCAGGTGGCCAGCGGGCAAAGCCCAGTGCTGACAGGTGTTCTAGCTGCCCTAGCCAAGATGGTGCCAGCTGCTTTTTAAGCAATAGGGCCCAGCTGCGCCCCCAACCCATCAGCCACCAGTGGCTGATGGCACAGTGGTTCCTATCCACATAAGTAGTGCAAGCCAAGATAGCACCAGCTGCTGTTTAAGCAATTAGGCCAGGCTGCGCCCCACCATCAGCCAAGAGTGGCCGATGGAGCAGAGGTTCTCGTCCTCATGCCTAGCCCTATATAAATTTTTTTTTAAAAAAAATCCCAAATTGTTTTACCTTAGTATTTTCCTTTATGCTGTTTTTGCTTGTCTTATTAGAAAATCTACTTTTAGAGACATTTTTTCATACAATTTCTGTTTTCATAAAATAAAATTTCTGCTTTCTAATTATTTATTTGAAAGACTGATAAGAGAGATTTTTATCACAGGCTTATTTCTCAAATGCCTTCGATATCCAGGAGCCCCAAAATCTATCTAGGTCTCCCCTTTGGGTTCCAGGGATCTTAGTCCTTGGGCCATGATCAGCTGGCTGCCAGGCATTGGTGGGGAATTGGGACAGGACTGGTCCCATGGCATAGTAGGTCAAGCCTCTACTTGTATCACTGGCAGCTATTCAGCTTTTAATTCTGCTTATGGCATGGGAAAGCAGTGGAGGGTAACTCTGTTTCTTGGGCCTCAGTACCCACATGGGAGAGCTAGAGGAGGTTCCTGGCATTAGGTTGGCTCAGCTTCCACCACTGCAGCCATCTGATGAGTGAACCAATGGGAGGATGATACCTCTCTCTGTTTCTTTCTCTCTCTCACTCCCTCTGTGTGTGTTCTTTCACTCTGTAACTCATGTTTTTCAAATAAAAAAAAAATCTCGAAAAAAATTTCACTAAATACTTAGGTATAGCAAATAATAATTCATTGTGCACCTTGAAAATGAATGCTGTTAATTTAATGCTGAAGATTGTTTCTTTTTCTTTGTGTTGTTTCAAACAGAGCATCCTGAAGATGTAGCTCCTACTGTTGGATTTTCCAAAATTAACCTTAAGCAAGGGAAGTTTGACGTCACCATATTTGACTTGGGAGGTGGAAAACGAATTCGGGGCATCTGGAAGAATTACTATGCTGAGTCCTATGGGGTAATATTTGTTGTGGATTCCAGTGATGAAGAGAGAATGGAAGAGACAAAGGAGACAATGTCGGAAGTCCTAAGACATCCCAGGATATCAGGAAAGCCTGTGTTGGTGTAAGTAACCTCATCTTCATTGCTAACATAGACACTAGCAAAAGCTTATAAAGGAATTGACCTGTGACAAAGTAGTCAATGACTACAAGTAGTCATGTCCCAGGATTACAAAACGTATGCAGATATCTGGGACTTGTTAATATTTTGAAGGCTTGTAATACTGTGCCTAGGGTAAAGAGCTGAGGCTGTGTGATGAACAAGGCTCACGGTTGTTCAAATATAAACTTGTTTTATTGATGATTTGTTTTTATTGATTTTGCCTTTTGAGATCAACTGTTAACAAAATTTTAGAATACTTTTCCATTGCTTCCTGTTTTGACTTAGATTTTTGACTCTGTGCTTTTTTTTTGGAAGAATGTTCTTGTTTGCATGTTTTTCCTAATGTCATGATGATTCCTAAGTTTTTACTTCTTCATTTACATATTGAAGATGTGATCTGTGTTGTTAAAAGCATAATAATTATTTTGCCAGGTACTTGAGCATTTTATTAATAAGTAACAAAGGACTTTGATCCTCACAGCATTTATGCATGGCAAACACTAGATGGTGCTGTAAATATGAGACATAATAAATATGTTCTTACAAATGTTCCCTTTGGCCTAGAATTAATTGACCTTTGGTCTTGCCTTTCTGTTCTTTTCCTTCATTGTTGTGATTCATTACTAAAGATTTAGAAAGATAAATTAGTCTTTCATGTTGTTAGATGAAAAGTTTTCAGAGATTTTAGTGAGCCTCAATTGTGAAGGAATATTTATTTATTTTATTTTCAAAAATATTTATTTGAAAGGCAGAGAGGAGTGGCGGAGATTCTCCATTTGCTAGTTTACTCCTCAAAAATGGCTGCAATCAGGACTGGGCCAGGCTGAAGCCAGGAGCCTGGGTTCTATCCCTTTCTGCCAAGTAGGTGGCAGGGACCAAAGGAATTTGATCATTTTTCCTATGTATTCTCAGGCACATTAGCAGGGAGATGGATCCCTGTATCCCATGAGGTGTAGCAGCTGCTGGGACTCAACCTGGTGCTTCCAGTATGGGATGCTGATATCCCAGGCAGTGGCTGGCTTAACCTGCACTGTCACAATGCTTGCTCAATGCTTAATGCTTATTTATTCTCATCTATTTGAAAGTTATAGCAAGAGAATTTAGAAAAGATATACACAGAGAGCAATCTTGATTCATTGCCCAGATACTTGGAATAGTTGAAGCTTGGTAACAACACTGCTAGATAGTGGCCTGTTGACGCTGTTATACAAAGACCAAAAACATTCAAACTTCATTTTCATGTGGTTTGAGAGACCAGCCTGTCTGAGGATGCAGCAATTTTTATGTTCATTTTTATTTTTAGGAAGTATGTTTTTCAAGTATTGGTCTTATGATATACGGTGATATATTTCTCTGGAGATAATTTTTGTACTGAGGACATCACAAACACCAGAAACTGCAACCAAATCACCAAATATGAACATTTCATTAGCTCTTCCTACTTATGCGATGATGTTCATGCAAGAGTTTTAAAGAGATCATAGACTATGTAGACTCTGGCCTCATCTTCACTAAGTGGAATTCTAACAATAGCACGTGCTCCGCTGACATGCCTGAAAGAGCTCACTTGCTACCTAACGAACTTCTGAGATCCTTTGCAGGTATCAGTCATTCAAAGCATTCCATAAGTTCATGAATTGAGGGGCTCCTGTGAGAACTGTAATGGGAAGCTTGGGCTTTAGTGTATGTAGCTAGGCACTAGTTACACGAGATCCATTCTGTTTTTGTGTTTTATTTAATGTTTTAAATTTATAGCATCTGTTCTTTTTTTTTTTAAAGATTTATTTTTTCATTGGAAAGTCAGATATACAAAGAGGAGGAGACACAGAGAGGAAGATCTTCTGTCCGATGATTCACTCCCCAAGTGAGCACAATGGCCGATGCTATGCCGATCCAAAGCCAGGATCCAGGAACTTCTTCCAGGTCTCCCACACGGGTGCAGGGTCCCAAAGCTTTGGGCCATCCTCGACTGCTTTCGCAGGCCACAAGTAGGGAGCTGGATGGGCAGCAGAGCTGCCAGGATTAGAACTGGCGCCCATATGGGATCCCAGGCGTGTTAAGGCGAGGACTTTAGCCATTAGGCCACGCCACCGGGCCCTATAGCATCTGTTTTTAAAGATTTGTTTTTTACTTGAAAATTACAGTTCTATATGTAGAGAGAAACAATGGGAGAGACAGTGAATCTTCCATCTTCTGGATCACTCTCCAACTGGTTGCAACCACCAGAATTGGGTTAATCCTGATCTGGGAACCAGAAGTTTCTTCCAGGCTTCTCATGTGGGTCAGGAGCATAAGGACGTGAGCCATTCTCTGCTGGGTTGGAGGTAGGGCAGCCATAACTCAAACCATTTCCTATTAGGATGCTGCATTGCAGGAGGAGGATTGGCATGATAAGCTACTGTGCTGGCCCTGAGGGTTCGTTCTATAGCTTAAGGGATGTTGAGATATTCAGGGATGTGCTGTTTCCTGAAGAAATCTGAAATTACATTATCATCTTGTATTCAAGATGCATCAAGACTAACTGGGCAGTAGTCTCCAAGAGAGTTCCTTTCCTAACAGAATAAGGCAAGTAGTACCAATATAAATACAACAGTGTAGATTTGGGCTGAAGGTCATAAGCTTACTCCACCAATATCCGTTTGCGCAAAATGACTGCAAAACACTTAAATCTGAAGAAGTTACAGTCTTCACAAAGACATGCAGGTTACAGGCAACGACTTGTGTAAGGATGGAATAAAATTTGACCATTTCAGCATCATGTTCAGGCATGCTAAGAGCCAGGATCAGGATGCGCTTCAAGATGCAAGATGAGGACATCTTATCACCCCGATATACCTCTGCCAGGCCAGTATCGCTAAAAACTTTTGCAGTACAAATTCAGACCAAGAAATTTGTTTCTGGCAAATCCGAGGCAGCCAATTTTGTGAGATATTTTAGTAAGGCACGCTGCTGAAAGCTATTGCTAAAAGGTATGGGATCTGGCAATATGGGCACCAGATTGAGTCCTGGCTGCTCCACTTGCAGTCCAGCTATCTGTTAGTGAACCTAGGGAAGCACCAAAAAAGAGGCCAAATACTTGGGCCACTGCCACTCATGTGGTCGGCCCAAGTGAAGTTCCTGGTGTTTGGATTCATTTGGCACACTCAGGGCAGGTTAGCCAAGGATAAGCCCACATTCTCTCTGTCTAACCCTGTCTTTTTTTTTTTTTTTAAAGATTTATTTTTATTATTTTGTTTATTGGAAAGGCAGATATACAGAGAGGAGAGACAGAGAGGAGATCTTCCGTCCGATGATTCACTCCCCAAGTGAGCGCAACAACCGTCGATGCTATGCCGATCCAAAGCCAGGAGCCTCTTCCGGGTCTCCCACGCGGGTGCAGGGTCCCAAAGCTTTGGGCCGTCCTCGACTGCTTTCCCGGGCCACAGGCAGGGAGCTGGATGGGAAGCCGGGCTGCTGGGATAGAACCGGCGCCCATATGGGATCCTGGGCGTGCAAGGTGAGGACCTTAACCACTTGTGCCACCGCGCGGGGCCCTAACCCTGTCTTTTAATAAATAAATAAGAAGGATAAACTAAAGTTAGTATCTGTACGTAATATGAAGGAAAATTAAGTTTCTACATGAACAGGTTAACGTGATAGCAGAGGAGACATTTGCACAGCATTAATTTTGCAAATTACTTTTTATTCAAATGGGTTGTTGATATATTTAGTAACCTTTCTGGTTCATATTACTATTTAGAGCTGAGCACAAATACAGAATTATAATGTTTTACAACTACTGTTTTTAGAGGAGAAGCATTTAGCTAATATGTTTTTAAAAAGCAGAATGACTTGTTAGGATAGAAAACAAATTTACGGAGAATCAAGATGCCAGAATAGGGTAAGGACATGATTAAATGGACTGAGAAACATTTAATCAGGATAAAGCAAAGAGGACATATCTGAGGAAATAGGAAAGGACAGAACAACAGCAGAGGGGTACCTGGAGACTGACAGACATAGGAAAGCAGCGGGCACAGCAGTGTGGTGTTGCAGTGACTGATACTCCAACACGGCGATCTGAACTCCACCAGCAGCTGGAACTCCACTAGCAACCTGGTGGGAAGGGACTTTCACTGGGAGCTTGGGAGGTGAATCCAGACAAAGAACTGTCTGTCCTGCTGATCTGTTTGATTTGACCAGGAGCAGAGCAGCAAATTTCAGACAGGCAGTGTGAGAACAGAGTGGATTGCATAGCCCAGTCAGTCCCTTAGAGCTGAATTGGGCGCCATTTTGCGTAAGAAGGAAAGGGCAAGGAAAAGGACTGAGCATGTGCTGAGCTGGGAGTGAGCTCATTTCTTACTCAGTGAACTGCAGCAATGTGGCATTCTACGGGTTCTACCTGGGGCATGTCTGGGTAGCCCTCAGATCTGATGTTCAGCAGATCAAGAACTGTATTGGTGGTACATCAGGCACCATTTTGTACACTGTGGTAATAGCTTTGGGACTGCAGGGGACAACAGTGAACTGTGCATGTGCTGACCTCGTGAGAACTCGCTGAGGTCCTGCAGGAATATAATACTGACTGTGGCATTGTACGGGTCAAAATAGGGCCGTGTGGCACCCAGACCTAACGTCCAACAGGTTCCTACAAGATCAGTGCCACCAACAACCTAACTAGATAGGACACCTGGTGTCTCTTTAGTTCTGGGACCTGCTCCAACCGGAAGTGGGAGAAAGGTCGCAGAGACAACGGTGCAGCTTCAGCATGGTATCACAGGAGGTGGAGAGTGGTGAGCCAAGAGCTGGGGCTGTGGAGACCACGGTAGAAATCTGACATAAGAACCCAGACCTGGAACTTGCTGGAGGTTGTGGCACAAGTGGCTGCAAGCAAAAAGTTGTGTACCAGTTACAATAAGTAAAATCGCATTGTAGACCTGTGGGTGACACAGCTTAGAAACCTGACCCAAGAAGAAGACTCT